ACAGACACACACACACTCACACTCACACACACACTCACACACACACACTCAAACACACACACACATATTACGGTTCAGGTTTTCCACATCTATTTCTCATGGTAAAGTGCTGTAGTTTCTGAACTAGTGCTTTAGTTAAAACCCAGCAGACGTTTGAAAGCTTGTCATTCCAGAGAATCATCCGGCTGATTCATGTCATTCATTTTTAGCTTTTCCACTCTTACGTCAATACAGCACGAGGATGGACGGAGAGAGTGATACAGACAGGAGGGAAAAAACAGAGGGAGGGTGTGTGTGTGTTGAGTAGTCATGTTACTGCATTCATTGTGAAGCAGTCTAACCAACTAAAGATTTGCTTTTACTGGTTAATATAAACCTATAACTTGCCTCTTCAAGGCAAGACTCTACAGGAGAATAGGGTTCAAAATTTATCAGCATACTTCCCCAGTTGATTGATTACGTTAATAATTGCACACATTGTTGTATTACAGGTTTTCTGAAATTTTGTTACTCTAATTATGATCCAGATTTTGTCGGTTTTATTTATTTAGACTTTCACAATAATTTCTGATGATTCACTGTAGTTATCTGCTTCTTGTTAGTGTAGTTTTGGGAGCTAAGTTTTCTTTAAAAAGACTAGTTTGACTGTTGAAAGCAGCTTCACATCTGATTCAGTGACTCAAACTTTTGTTAATCAAATCTGTCTTTAATTCACTCTGAATCTAAATTCTGAATGTGTCAAAGATTAAATTTGAGGAAGTTCTTCCCCTGAAGTGTCTGTGTAACTAGTAAACAGTGACTGAGATAAACACTGACTACAGGACGGGACGATATCAGCCCATCAGATTGGTGATTGTGTGTGATTTAGAGCCGAGAACAGAGTCAAATGAAAGATTTCTCTCTAGTAGATGGGAGGAGGCGTGTAAATGTGTTAATGATGATGTATGTGTGTGTGTGTGTGTCAGTCGGGGCTGTGGTTCGAGCGCAGGATCGTGGCCGTGTGCGAGCGGATGATGGCCGGCGGTCGCTGGGAACGAGGCGGTGAGACGGACAGACTCACACACTCCATCAGACACCGAGGGATGACGCTACTGCACCTTGCCGCCGCTCAGGGATACACACAGCTCATACACACACTCATACGCTGGAGGTAAAACACACACTCATATATACACACACACACACACACACACACACACACTCATACGCTGGAGGTAACACACACACTCATACACTGGAGGTAACACACACAGCTCATACACACTCATACGCTGGAGGTAACACACATACACACACACACACTCATACACTGGAGGTAACACACACTCATACACACACTCATACACTGGAGGTAACACACACACTCATACACACACTCATACGCTGGAGGTAACACACACATACACACACTCAGTTCTCTGTTTGTCTGCAGACACTTGAATCAGTGTGTTTTGTGTTTAATAATGTTTGTTTGTGTATCTCTGTGTGTATCAGGGGTATCAGTGTGAATAGTTTGGATCTGGAACAGGAAGTGGATCCTCTGAATGTTGATCATTTCTCCTGCACACCTCTGGTACAGTCAAAAGTTTGGAATCAATCAATCAATCAATCAAGATTTCTAAATGTTTTTGACAGAAGTCTCTTCTGCGCACCAAGGCTGCGGAGGTAACACACATACACACACACACACTCATACACTGGAGGTAACACACACAGCTCATACACACTCATACGCTGGAGGTAACACACATACACACACACACACTCATACACTGGAGGTAACACACACTCATACACACACTCATACACTGGAGGTAACACACACACTCATACACACACTCATACGCTGGAGGTAACACACACATACACACACTCAGTTCTCTGTTTGTCTGCAGACACTTGAATCAGTGTGTTTTGTGTTTAATAATGTTTGTTTGTGTATCTCTGTGTGTATCAGGGGTATCAGTGTGAATAGTTTGGATCTGGAACAGGAAGTGGATCCTCTGAATGTTGATCATTTCTCCTGCACACCTCTGGTACAGTCAAAAGTTTGGAATCAATCAATCAATCAATCAAGATTTCTAAATGTTTTTGACAGAAGTCTCTTCTGCTCACCAAGGCTGCATTTATTTGATCAAAAATACTGTAAAAACAGTGAAATATTATTCTAGTGTAAAACAGCTGTTTTCTATGTGAATATCTGTTAAACTGTAATGTATTTCTGTGATGCGCAGCTGTATTTTCAGCATCATTACTCCAGTCTTCAGTGTCACTTGATCTTCAGAAATAATTCTAATATGCTGATTTGCTGCTCAAGAAACATTTCTGATTATTATCCATGTTGAAAACAGTTGTGCTGCGTCATGTTTTCGTGGTTCTGACCCGTATGTGTGTGTGTGTCTGTGTGTGTGTGTGTGTGTGTTCAGATGTGGGCGTGTGCTCTGGGTCATCAGGCCGCAGCTGTGTTGTTGTACCGCTGGAGCAGCGCGGCTCTGGGAATCCCGGACTCTCTGGGTCGTCTGCCTCTGGCTGTGGCACATTCCCGTGGACACACACGTCTAGCGCGCTGTCTGGAGGAGTTACACACACACTCTCAGACGCAGGAACACACACCGGACACACCCTCACCTCCGTACCGACCCCTGTCTCCACTGTCCTGCAGCCCTGACACAGGTAACAACACACACCAGGCCCCTGTGAAGTCCATTTTATTTGTTCTGTGCTTTAGTTTTAGTTTTTCTAAATTCCATTTTAATTATTTCAAACAAAATTAAAAATCACTTTTATAATTCATTAAAAATAAGTTTTTGCATTATGCATTAATGCATGTCTAATCAAATTAATAAAACTTTATAAAATGTAAAAGTTTTAATTTTCTGAGTTCCATTTTAATTAAATAAAAAAAAAATGTGTATATTCAAAAAGCATGTACAATAAACATTGATAATTTAATATTCTAATGTTAACAATAATAAGGCCCTATAAAATCTTTTTCATTTTTTTCCCAAATGCTGTTTTCTGTTTTATTGTTTCTGAATTACATTTTCATTAAATTAAACCAAATTAAAATTACATTTTTATATTCAAAACAAATGTATAACCAAGTTCATGATTTTTTTTTATAGTCAAAAAGCGTATCCAATAAAATTCATAAAACTTAATATTATGATGATTTAATATTTTATTAAAATGTTAGCAGTTATAAGGCCCTGTGAAATTTCTATAATTTTTTCCCCATATTCTGTGATGTGTTTTAATGTTTTCTGGATTCTGTGTTTTATGATATAATAAAAAAACAGTAAAATCAAAGGAATTAATAGAATTCTGAGAAGTTGATCAATCATTTAAAATCTAATCACATTTAAATATAATAATTCCTTTACAAAAATTTTATTTTGAGTTTTTAGGTTTACTGTATAACTGAATTGTTATTCCTTAAAATAATGTTGTAATAGATTGTATTTTTATTAATTATAGTTTCATTGAATAATACTAACCCTGCTCTCTCTCTCTCTGTCTCTCTCGCTCTCTCGCTCTCTCCCTCTCGCGCTCTCTCTCTCTCTCTCTCTATCTCTCTTGCTCGCTCGCGCTCTCTCTCTCTCTCTCTCGCTCGCTCTCTCTCTCTCTCGCTCGCTCTCTCACACACTTTCTCACACACTCTCACACACTCTCACACACTCTCGCTCTCTCGCTCTCTCTCTCTCTC